CATCTGCCCAGAGGCTAGCGCACATTAGGAGGAGGAAGAAGAGGACACGGGAAGACATGTTTGCTGAACTAATGGGATGCTCCCGAGCACAGGCAGCCCAGCAGACACAGTGGAGGGAGAACTTGTCCCAAATGCAAACATTGAACGGGAGGAGAGGTGGCGACAGGAGGACTGGCAGGCTACTCAAACGCTGCTTGGACTAATGAGGGAGCAAACGGACACGCTCTGCCGCCTTGTGGATGTTCTGCAGGACCGGAGGCAGGAGGAGAGAGCCCCGCTGCAGTCTCTCTCTAACTGCCCTGCCCCGCCACCAAGTCCCATACCCCCCTCACCCAAAGTCCAAACACGGAGGGGCGGAAGGGGCCGTGAAAAATTTCACTCCACCCCTGCGGACTGCTCTACCACTAGAAGGCTCTCATTCCCCAAAATTTGAAAAGTCCTTTCCTACCCGCCTCACACAAGACCCCGTCCAAGTTTCACCCCCCCGTTCCATGTGCGGTTGTTAATAAAAAATACGTTTCTGTTCATTACTGTCTCCATCCTCTTCTTTTGGAGGAGAGTCTGTCTGAAGGGGGGGGAAGGGGCTTGGTAATTGGACAGGACAGTCACCTTTAGCAGGGGGCAGGTCCAGCAGCAGGGCACATATACAGTGCAGTGACTAGTTATCCTGGTCAGTCTGGGAGGTGGTTTTCATGTTCTGTGTGGTGGGGGGGGGGGGGTGTTGCTCTGTGACTTTGTGGCGGGGGAGGGCAGTTACAGATCTTATGCAGCGGTCCTTACCCTGGATCACAGAGCCGCGCAGCAGGGGATCTGTAACCCTCCTCCCCCTGCAAGACAGTCACATAGCCGACACATACACGCAGTCCCAGCCAGGAGGGCTGGCAGGCTCCGTTGAAACAACCAGTCTACCACCGCGGAGCCTGTCATTCCTGGAGTTTAGAAGCATCATTTGCATCACAACACTAAACCCGCCCCCCGCCACAGTCTGCGTCCCAGGTTTAAAACATTCCCGCGAAAACAGTAATAAAGACAACGGTGTCCATTAACAAAACAGAACAGATTTTATTTTTTGGGAAGGGGGTGAAGGGGGTATGTAACTGGAGAGGATAGTCGACGGCAACTGGGTAAAGAAACGGGGGCAAGTTCAGCTTCTGTGTCCACAAACTGAAAAGTCACTGGGTACCCTGCTCAGCCTTGAAACTGGCTTTCAAAGCCTCCCGAATGCACAGCGCGTCCCGCTGGGCTCTTCTAATCGCCCGGCTGTCTGGCTGGGCGTAATCAGCAGCCAGGCTATTTGCCTCAACCTCCCACCCCGCCATAAAGGTCTCCCCCTTGCTCTCACAGAGATTGTGGAGCACACAGCAAGCTGCAATAACGATGGGGATATTGGTTTCGCTGAGATCACAGTGAGTCAGTAAGCTTCTCCATCTCCCCTTGAGACGGCCAAAAGCACACTCCACCACCATTCTGCACTTGCTCAGCCGGTAGTTGAAGAGTTCTTGTGCAGTGTCCAGGGCCCCAGTATAGGGCTTCATGAGCCAGGGCATTAGCGGGTAGGCTGGGTCCCCGAGGATGACTATAGGCATCTCCACATCCCCAAGAGTTATTTTGTGGTCCGGGAAGTAAATGCCTTCCTGCAGCCGTCTAAACAGACCAGAGTTCCTGAACACGCGAGCGTCATGAACCTTGCCCGGCCATCCGACGTTGATGTTTGTAAAACGTCCCCGATGGTCCACCAGTGCTTGCAGCACCATTGAAAAGTAGCCCTTTCTATTGATGTACTGGCTGGCCTGGTGGCCCGGTCCCAGGATAGGGATGTGAGTCCCATCTATAGCCCCACCGCAGTTTGGGAATCCCATCGCAGCGAAGCCATCTATGATGGCCTGCGCGTTTCCCAGGGTCACTACCTTTGACAGCAGTACCTTGACGATTGCCTTGGCTACTTGCAGGACAACAACCCCCACGGTAGATTTGCCCACGCCAAAGTGGTTCGCGACTGACCGGTAGCTGTCCGGCGTTGCAAGCTTCCAGAGGGCTATGGCCACTCGCTTCTGGACAGTCAGGGCTGCTCGCATGCGGGTGTCCTTGCGCTTCAGGGCAGGGGACAGCAACTCACAAAGTTCGAGGAAAGTCCCCTTCCGCATGCGAAAGTTTCGCAGCCTCTGGGATTCATCCCAGACCTGAAGCACTATGCGGTCCCACCAGTCCGTGCTTGTTTCCCGGGCCCAGAATCGCCGTTCAACAAAATCCACATGCCCCATTGCCACCGTGATGTCCTGGGCGCTGGGGCTCGTGGTTTCTGACAGCTCTGTGCTACTCTCCGACTTCAGGCCCTCACGGCGGTGCCGTAGCCTCCTCGCCTGATTTCTCTGCATCTGCCTCTGGGAAAGGTGTATGATAAGGTGCGAGGCGTTGAGAACGGCCACAACTGCAGCGATGGTCGCAGCGGGATCCATGATCGCAGTGCTGTGGCGTCCGCGCTGTCACTGATCAAAAAGTGCGCGAACTGATTTCCCGCCGACGCTTTCAGGGAGGGAGGGAGGGAGGGCGGTAGTGACTGACGGATGACGACAGTTACCCAAAAGCACCCTCGCCACATTTTTTTACCCAGAAGGCATTGGCGGATCGACCCAGAATTCCAATGGGCAGCGGGGACTGCGGGAACTGTGGGATAGCTGCCCACAGTGCACTGCTTCCAATGTCGACGCTTTCCCTGGTAGTGTGGACTGACAAAGTCGAATTACTGTCCTTAGTGTAGACACATACGTTCGACTTTCTAATATCGATTGCACATATTCGATTTAACTAAAATCGAACTACTCTCGTAGTGTAGACATACCCTAAGGCACTGTAATGGGGCGGGACTCACCACCTCGGTGCCTCCTGCTGGCTGTGCTGGGAATTAGCTCTTGGTTGCCGGTGAGCCTTCCTCTAGTAGCATCTCACCACCGTCACTTCTGCTCCACCTCTAAGACCTGCATTGCTCCCTGGATCGCAGCGTCCTCTTCTGGGCATGGCCCTCTGGCCATGCCCAGTGCTTGAGGCCCCTGCAATGGCAAGGAACTAAGTGAGATAGACCCAGCTAATCCTGGCAAGTGACCTGCACCCCAAACTGCATAGGAAGGTGAAAAATGCCCCAAATCACTGCCAATCTCCATATGGCGATCAGTTAGACCCTGAGCATGTGAGCAACAGCCAGCCGTCTAAGCACGTGAGAGAGAGAATGCTCAGTGCCACCTCAGAGCCCAGTGTCCCATCTCCAGCCATACCCATCGCTGATGAAGGAAGGAGATATTAAAAAAAAAAAAAAAAAAAAAAAAAAACCACCTCCCCAAATATGTTGTGGAGGGAATCCCTTCCTCACCCCTGCAGGTGTCCAGCTGAAACCCTGAAGCATGGCCCTCGGAACATAAAGATGGTGGTGGAGTATCATTTTAAATTACATACTTCTCTGATTTCCAAGTGCATCTTGTCCTTTCTGTATCTCTCTCTTAGGGCATGTCTACACTACAATCTTAAATTGACCTATGTTAGGTCAACTTACAGCCACCGCAGTAATTAATGTGATGGCTGATGTCCACGCTGCCCTCCCGTCGGTGGTGCGCGTCCTCACTAGGAGCACTTCCACTGGCTGAAGAGGGGCAGTGTGGGGGGCTGCGATCCAGGGCTCTCAGCTCTGCACTGCTTCCCACTGGGAGCCCAGCTGCCTGGCCAGGCCTTCTTACCTCCCTGCTGAGAGTGTAGGGGAAGCTGCCCGGTGTGTTTCACCTCCAGCGGCGTGATCCATGCCTGGAGTCTAGTCAGCTGCCATGCTCCTAGCAGGGAGTCAAGACACCAGGGGACAGCAGGGCTCCCTCTGGGGAGCCCGGGTGGCAGCCCAGCTTGGGGTGGAGACCTAGCAGCAGCCTAGCTGGGCGCTGGCTTTCTTGTCAATTTCATGGCTCCAGGGGAGCCGTGAAATTGACAAGAATGACAGCCAACGGCAGCCGATGTAAGAAACAATGTCACGCTGACGTAAGCCCTATGCCTCTCGTGGAGATGGAGTTACTAGGCACTTACATCGGCAGGAACCAGGTGTTGGTGTACTAGGGCACTTACATCGGCAGGAACCAGGCTGTAGTGTGCATTGTCCATTGCGTGGATAACTTCATATATAGTGCTTTCTCTTCTGTAGGATTGTGAATGTCACCTCCCAGGGACTGAATAGAGTGACACTGAGATCAGCTAACAGATGTCAATAGCAGGCATTTTGTAGTTAGATAACCTCTGAATGAGATACAGGTGCTTCTTAGGGCAGATCTCCTCCTCTTGGTTTAAATGCTCATCTCAGTGAGACTTGCGCTTCTTGGGGTTACTCCCAAGAACAGGTGACTTGGATGTGTTTAGGGGGGTATCTTGATCTGAGGCAGATAACAAGGAAATTTAGGCTGAATATCAGAAAAACCTTCCTGACAGTGAGCTCTGCCGGAACAGTGGAACTCTCTGCGGTGACATGGTGACCCATCGCTTGAGTCATTAAGACTGTACTGGACAAAACTTAACATACTCTAGGAACACTCTTGCACTGGCCTCTGGGGATGAAGTAGGTGAGATAGTAAGTCTCTTCCATCTGTAATGTTTGTCCTGACTCTGGCTTTTTCTTGTAGGTATAAAGATGACCTAGACAGTCCTACTGAGGAGAACGGGAAGCAGAAAGTCCTGTACAGCCTAGAATTCACCTTTGATGCTGATGCCCGTGTTGCCATCACAATCTACTGCCAGGCTACAGAGGAATTCATCAGTGGCATGGCAGTGTAAGTCATGGGAAAACAGATTTAAAGGGACACTGGCGACTTACAGGTCACAAGTCTGTCTGAAATTTTTCTCCTGGTACAAGTAACACCTAAGGAGGCAGGAGAGAGAGCGAGGTTTCTCCTTTCCAGTTTGCTTGCTTTGTGCATTTGGCAGCTCTGTATATTAGTAGTTTCCCCTGTTAGTTGGTTGTGTGGGTTTTTCCATGCACATTTGGGAAAAGAAAACTAAAACCATACAGTTTGTCAGGGAGACACAAGGTGTAACTCCTGAAGGTGTAAACTCATTTTTTTTAAATTGACTGACTAGATTTGAAGAGGATGTCCCTTTTCATTGGGACCCCTGGGTCAATGGAACTGATGCGGTGAGAATGAGCGCCCTTCAAGGATCAGGAGAGGGAAGAATGTGTAAGGAATTGAGCCACCTCCCCCCTGCTTTTGTGGTTAAATGACCATCTTATACAATTAATTATACTGAAGGGGCTCTCCTGTGTTTTATAGGCAGTATTGCCTGTTAGATGTTTCCCTCCAGGTGCCTATTCTAACATTTGCATGGTCGATGGGGGTGGTCAAAGTTCAACCAATGCAATTTTAGTGTGGCTTGTATTGTCAATATAATTCAGTCATGAAGACTCAAAGTCCTAGTATGCAATGCTTAATCTAGATCAGCATATCTAGGCTGTGTCCAGTCAAGGCGGAGTTTCATATTTTTGGGATGTTTTAGTCTCAAGGGACACACTTCTGTGTTTAAAGACCTAGGGTGCTCTTTTTTCCCATGCAATTTAAGTACACATTTGGGGGCCTGGTGACTTACTACTGCAGGCCTCTGATGGCATGATTTTTAGACCCCTCTGTTTATAAATAGCTCAGGATCTTTTGTTCCTAACAGAAATCTGCAAGCTGGAGAAGCTTAATGTAGAACTATAATTGATGACTGACATGTCTCTACAGTTAGCATTAAGGGCTTCTGCAATTGTGTTCTACATCATACTGGCTTTCAAAGGAAACTTGTGTAATTTAAGATAAGTGATCTATTGATGATTAAAGCGAAAAAAAATCAAACAGAATTCATGTCAAAAGACTTGCTTTAGGCACAATATAAACATCCTGCTAATGATCAATGAATGTTATTTTTAGAAATGAGGCCAAAGGCTGAACATTCCCATCCAGATGTGAATTCCTCCAAACTTGGAGAGTGTCCAAAGTCAGGATTTTGATCAGGCTCCTCTCTAGTTTTGTTAAAGCCTGCAGCTGTCTTTACTCTTTGTGAAAAGTAATAAATTAGCTCCTCTTACAGAGCTTTGGCACCTCTTGGGAAGCTTTGAAAACCCGGCTCTTTAGCCCCAGTTTCTCCTGAGCAGTGCAGTGTATAGGCAAGCTCCTAGAAATCCTAACTGTTTCCAGGTTATGTTTTCGTAAGTCTTTAAAAATGTTTCCTGTGAATTTACTGCTAGCAAAGGTCTTGGCTTGACACTCTTGGCACTTGAAGTCCTCTGTCCTTAAAATTGGTGCAACATGGCTAGGCAGCAGTGCCAGCTTCCCTCCTACTGCCCTGCAGAATATCCCTCGCCCTTGCTCTGGAAAGGGGACCATCTTTAGGGACTATGCCTTTATGTTGGGGTGGCATAGCTGTCCAGTGCGCAAGCCCTTAGACTGAAAGAGCACAGCTAGGTTCTATTCCTGCCTTTCATTGACCCTTGAGCAAATCAACCGTGCCTCAGTTTCCCCACCCATACAAGGAGGATAATGAGGGCTTATGACTGGTGGTGGTGGTTACAGTTGCAACAGAAGCCGATGGACTCTTCTGAAGCCAAGATCCTGTTTTCATGCAGATGTGGTAGGTAATAGGGATCTGGGGAAGAGAGCAGCAAATATAGACTTTATAAACTGCTTTAATTCAACCCAGACTATTTTCCCATTTGATGGTGGCGGCGGCTCTGTAAGCACATCTTGGGGCTTGTACAGCTGCCCGAAGTGGGTATCTCTGCTTCTCTGGATTTAGCATGCTGCTACTAAAAACCTTCTTTTAAAGCCCCGATTTTAGCTTTGCCAAGCAGTTCTGTAAGGGCAAACACTGTAATTACGTTGATTTATTTTCTTCAAGTTCTGGTGGAAAAAACAACTCTGGGCTGCATTTTTAGAACACCTCAAAGTGGAGAGCTGCATTTTTAGCACACTAATTGGAGTGCACGATCACTGAGGGTACTTTATCTCCATTGGTTTGATGGTAACATCTAAACTGAAGGGTCAGTGTGTGCAACTGTTGTGTGTTTTAGAATCAACGCCCCCCCTTCAGACTGATATGCCCAGCGCTTCGGGGGGAGGAGCAGGATCTCTCTGAAAACCAAACTCACTTTTTCTTCTTAAGTGGAAGCCAATCTCTGAAGCAGGAGAGGCTTCCTCCAAAGGGTGCCAAGGCGAACGTGTTCTCTTAACCACCAGCCTGCAGTGTGCTCCTTGGAAGTTCTAAATGGCTGAAGCTCACTTCCCTGGCTGCTTTGCTGAAAGACCCACCCCACAATCCCTAATCACACTAACATGATGTTTGCTTCAGTCTCCTGCTTGGAACGTGGCTTGGGCCTCTTAGAGACATTTTGCTGCATTTTGGAGGAGGGACTCTCAGGTCTTGGGGAGAGGCATCCTGTGCAGAGACCATTCATCCATGGACCACAACCCCCCATGGCCTGCTTATCCTACAGCTCTATCCAGAGCTAATAGGTCTTCTACCCTTTGCTAAGAGAACTGGGGTCCATTTCACAGACAAAAGGAAATCTCCTCCTGGAATGGCTCAGCACTCCAATTAAAAAAGGAATGACATCAGTACCACGGGAATCCATCTTGAAGACACAAGGAGGGGACACTTGTCTCTTCTCTGTCTGAGACTTGTCTGTCTGTTTCATGGGACCAGCTGCGTTTTCTGGAATCTGTTAGGCTGGGGAAGATGGCATGTGTGTGTTGTATGAGCAACCTGTGTGTTTCATTGCATGATTAGTAGCTTTGAGATCCCTTCCCTCATCTGTCCAAAGCCTCACACCACACTGGCATGTCATGCTCTTTGTTAAAACAGGGTACCTAGGGATTTTCCAGCTGCAGGTGTCTTGCTTAATTTCACAGAACCATTTCCTAACTGTGAGGTCAGAGGGTTCAGTAGTCCCCGAAGGGAAAGAGTTGGAGTCAGCCCCATGACTGGAGTCACTTAAAACTAGCCATCTGGGCTGGACATGCGCTTTAAGGACCAATTCTGTGCTGCCAAAGGTAACCTGATAGTCTTGGTTTCTAACTCTGCGTGAGGATACTGCTTGTGCAGAGCTTTTCCTCTCCATGTGCTTTAGAGACAAGAGATACTATTCCCTGGATTACTTATGCTGCACTGTTTTCTTGCAGGCACAATGAAGCACAGCTGATTTCATTGGAATGATTTATTACATTTCATTTCTATTAGTATTAGGTGTTGCAAAACCACCCCACCCACCCCAGTCTCTCTTAAACTGACAGCACATGTGACACCGGGTCACTTACCTGTTACACATTCTGTTTGCATGTGGGATTTTGAACTTAATTCCTTTTGATGGCGGTGAACCAGCTAATCAAATGTATGGCTTGGCCTACTGGCTGCATTCAGTTGAGTGTGTACAAAAAGGAGGCAGCAGTACTAGATGAGCCTCTGGTCACTTAATAGTCTCATGCTTATTCATGGCCTGTGAAAGTCCTTTCTGCTATAGACACTCATGCTTAATTTGGCTTCTCTGTACAATCAAGGAGAAGTGTGTGAAGCAATCCAGGGCTGGGTATTTGCTGCTGGGCACAAGCCTACTCCTGTCTTTAAGGCCAAAGCCTGCTTTGAGCCATACAGATAGCAGCCCCCAAAGAAATGCTGTAGTGCTTGGAACTCATATGCCATAAAACTAAATTCCAGAGATTTCACTGCTCACAGATAAATAAGAGTTTACCCCCCTGTTGCCTTACATGCTAGTGCAGCTGCAGAGAAACTGAGCAACTTGGGCATGCTGGTTACAGTAAATATGAATGCAGCACCTCTTACACAGCAAGTCCAGCTAGCAAATCTAGATCAGCTACAGTCTTGGGATGGTGAAACCTGCCTGCCAAAGGGCAGATTTCACACACTCAGCAGGCCAGAGTTTCTTTGGGGCTGGTGCGGAGAAGCTGTGCCTCTTCCTGGGAGAAAGGAGAGAGATGACATTGCACTATGTGGCAACCTGCCACCAGGTCAGGAATGGACACACAAACGGACACGGGATCAAACCCCAAACACTGTGTGTGACCTGTCCTGCATGGGTCCTAACTGCTCTGACAGAGACCTGAGGGGTCTGGCTTTTCATACTCAGCTGTTTAGCAACATTTGTCTAGCTTATTCTGCCAATAAAACCTCACTGAATTGAAGTGATGCCTATGCCTGACTTGTTACGCTTACGTCTGAAGGGGAAATAAAGTTGACTGCAGATCCCTTTCCTAGGTGAAAGGAGAGGATGCAGTATGGGGGAGCAGGGTGTCAATTCCATGCCAACTCCTGGGATTCAGAACATCAGCAAAGTACTATTGGCTTTCCCAACTCTTGCCACTCTCAGCATGAAAATCCACCAAGAACACCCAGACCAAAATGCAAGCTGCCTACACTCAGACTTGCAGGTGGAACTCAAGTGCATCCCCAAAAGGCAGACCCATGCTCTTAAATTGTCTTCTGTGGTGCTTATTGTACTGCAGGCTGCACACAGGCGGTACATACAGGCTTTTGAAGTGAGATAATTCTAAATGTGGGACTGGTGTGGAATGCTAACTACACTGGCTGACAGTCCATGTGGTGGTAGTTGTGCCCATCGATAAAATGTCTTCCTAGCTGCGATGATGAGAACGTCTGCCTTCTCTAGCAGGTCTTGTCTGAGGAGCTCCAAATGCTGTGCAAGCAACAATGAAGTACAGTCTTGTGGCTGGGGAAGGCTGTCTTCTCCCTCATCTCTTCTAGCAAGTCCTAAGAATTGTCTAGTGATTAGCTCAGGGGATGGGGACTGGAACTTGAGGCATTTGTGTTTCATTCCCAGTGCTTCTCCCAGTTGGATGTGACCTTGGGCAAGTCCCTTTCCTTCTCCGTTTCAGTTTCCTCATCTGTATGATGGGGCTGTTAACACCTAGCTAGCAATTGAGTTGGTTCTTTGATGTCATTGATGGAAGGAGTCAGACAGGGACACCATGTACTCGCTTTAGCTGATTTGACTGTACGGTAAGTAAAACCACACTCACCTGCGTACCCTATAATTCACACACAAAGCAGCTGTCACTTCCCACCTCCCCACAGCACTTTAATAACAGAGGTTGCAGCAAGATCTCCTATTACTACAGCTGTGTTATTTTTATGCTGTACTGTTCTGAACATTTTTTAGTACATTGTACAGTATTGTCATAAATCATTAAAATGAAACTACCCCAGCAAGAATGAACATAGCACGTTTTAGTGCAGTCACTTGGATTGTTTTTATTATTTGCCCACCTGTCAATTTGCAAAATCAGTCTTTTGCACCTCGTGCAAGTGAGTCCACTGACCGTCTAATTAGCCTGGCAAAATTGTACCAGCCAGGTCCTTAGCTGGTGTCAGTGTCGTGGCAATGGATTTCCGGTGTAACTATGCCAGTATACACCAACTGGGGAGGAGGTCCTGTATGCTCACTTGCCTGGGGCATGTAATTTTTGGCTCAGGCCGGCTGGGTAAGACATCCTCAGTTCTTTCTCCTCCATACATTTATGCTGTGCTCATCACCAAGATAGCTGAGGCCAAACTGGAAGGCCTAAAATCAGAAGTTTAAACTCCTAAAATAGAAGTGGTCTCTTATTCTCCAAGCTTCCTGCTCCCACTGGCTTGAGTGGGATTTGTAAGTGCTCAGCTTCTCTGACAATCGGGCGACTAAATCCTAAGGACTTGATTGTGGATTTAGGAGCCTAACTTTAGGCCCCCCAGTTTGAAAGTAGTGGCCTGAGCGCATAAGGGTAAGGGCAGATGAGCAGGCGCTTTCCCTGAGTTGGTGCTCTTTAATGGTAGGTGTGCAGTGGTGCTCAAAACAGGCCGTGGATAGCTAACTATTGATCACGTGTGTCAGAACAGCATTAAATCTCTTGGCTGTTAGGTGGGTGAGTGGTGTAGCTGTCCTGGAACAGCTTGCTGTGGACTCCAAAGAGAACATCCCCTGCTTTAGACTGCCAACCAACAAATTGGAAATGGAACTGTCAGCTAGTTAAAGGTTCATCTAAGGAGCCAACCAACTGTACCATGCAACCATGGCAACAAAAGCATTACTATGGAGCTCTGGGAAGCTTTAAGCTCTGAATGCAAGACAGAAAACATGAGGGAGATGACTGCTGTTGTGTAAATATGTGGGAGCTGCATCGTGCTCCTGGCTGGAGTAGAGGCAGGGCACAGTAGGTGGTGGTGGCTGTTGTCGTGTTCTTTGGAGCCCTCTTGGGAGCTGTGCCTTACCATCTCTTTTCTGCACGCGCTGCGTTAGTTACCTTGGCCAAGTTGTACTTTGTGGAAGTTGCAAGTGTGCTTTCCAGCCACAGCAGGCGCTTTAGTTCCTAACAGTCTGCGAGCTCCGCTTCTGTATCACAAAAGGGCTAATCAGATCCTTAATCCTTTTAAGATGCTGAATCCAGATCTCCTAGTGATGCTTCTACTCCCTGGCTTCCTCTTTCCTTGCACCCTTTCCTCAGAGCCATGGTCTTGCCCTTCGCACACCTCTGCCCTTCTCTCATTCTCTTTCACCTCAGGAGCCTCGCCTCCCATTCTCCTTGCCTCCCTTGCTTGGTTTTTCTCCATCCCCTGCTCTTTGAGCAAGCACAAAGCCCCTGTTTCAAACCATTTGTTTTTACAGAGCCGCTGCTATTCCTCTCCCTTACAATGGAGGATACTGAGGATAACAGCCTATTACTATGGCTAACCAATGGAGTTACTCCTTTAACTCAAGTACATAAAGGTCTGGACTGTAGGTTCTGGGTTTGAACTCTGCTAAACACCACTTTACTTCCCCTGTGATTTGTAAGACATTACTTACACCCTGGGCATGGTAAATTGTTGCACCAGGTGGAAATTTCCTTGGATGCTTACAGCCCTGCTGGAACTTCTAACTTGGGTTAGAGCAGAGAACCCAGCTGATTACAAGTGCAGAAGGCCCGGAGGGTGGCAGCTGGCCCTACTGCTCCAGGTGATGCCTTGGTTTCAGAGTAAGACCCTATACAGTGGAAGAACTGTCACTCTACCATAGGTGTGGAGGGAGAGTTGGCCAACACCCCTGGATCTGGTGTTGGTGCAACTGGTGGGGGATGCCCTTGAGCTAGTGGAGTCGTACTGCCCTCAGATCAAGGGTGCTTCTCTTGCAGGGAGGGAAGGGGGCACGGGGCTTGGAGACTTGGGTGTGGGAGGAGGATGTCAAATTTAGTTCCTGCTGCTTGGCCCAAATGCTGATCCAATGCTGAGCTTCCACTGCTCTCTGTGTGCAGCCATTAGAGGGCACCAAATGCCATCTCGCAGGCGGGGCTCAGGCAGCCTGTCAGCAAATGGGGGGAGGTGTGGAATGATTTATCACTGTTAGATCACTGCTCAAGCTTTCAGCTGTGCGTGTGAGGGGAGGGGCCAGGCTTCCTCTTCAAAAATATTGAGGAGACCCGAGCCTGCTAAACCATGTGCCGGCAGTGCCCATACTCCAGATCTGTGGGGTCAGCCTTTGCTAGCCTGGGCCCTTTGTCTGCAGTGCTGTGTGCTGCCCTGTTGACTAATATTCCCAGCCAGGCCACTATGGAACTGATCAACTTGACTGCAGATCAGGGCTGTGTTCCTGTGCTGTTTCCCTCTCCTGAGCCCACTTTCCCTTCCTTTTTGTGTCCAGAGTGAATGGCTGTCAGCCCCTGCCAGCACCGCTTCTCAGAGCAGCCATTTGTGATTCCTGGGAGGCTGCAGGCGTGAATGACTTTCTTAGAGTCCAGCACAGAGCAATCACTTGTTACACTGAGTTTTCTTTTTTGCCCCCTCTCCAGATACAGCACAAAGAATCCTTCTCTGCAGTCAGAGACTGTTCATTACAAGAGAGGGGTGAGCCAGCAATTCTCCCTGCCTTCCTTCAAGATTGATTTCTCAGACTGGAAGGACGATGAGGTAAATCTCTCCTTAGATTTCCCTCTTCTCCAAAACCCTATTGTTCCAGAAACACTGGGCTCTGTTTGTTTAACTTCCTGAGTTGTAGCTGGAAAATTATCAGTCACAGCTGCCGTGGCATGATTTGTCAGCGTGGGGTGAAGGGCCCTGGGAAAAATGGATCTGAAATATTCGGGACAACTGTTGGGTAGGTACATTAAGCCCCCCTCCCCACCCCCTCATCCCCCCCCCCAAAAAAACGGGCATGGGATGAGGGCAGGATAGACTGTCTGTCGAGATCTCAGATACCTGGTGTAGGATGGAACTTTTCTACAGCTCTCGGGGTGAATGATACTGGTGCCATCTCCAAAGGAAGCTGCTTGTTTTTCAGCCAGTCTTGATGTGATGCTCTCCCAACTGATCAGGGCACTGTGAGAGCTCAGGAACGTAAGTCCCCTTCAGAGAGGCGTTTATTGCCTAATAAAATGTCTGGTTACACACAGCCTGCAGAAAAGTTGGTGTCCCCTTTCTGTAGCAAATGTATTAACCACATGATTGATAAGTAAACTTCTTTTTAAAGAGAGTCTCCAGTTACAATATTGACTTTTTTTTTTTTTTTACACCCCATCAAAGGAAGTCAGAATCGTCCAAGCAGGGTTGAATTTGATCGCTTTGAAAATAAATACTTATCTTCTCTAGAAAAGAGTACAATTCTGAATTGTGTTCTGAGCTGTGAATTAGTATTAGTATTCCACTTCTCATAATGTCCTACTGATGAATCAGTGTGTGTCTGTTACAGAATATTGAGGGGGGGCATATGTATTCATAGATTCCAAGGTCAGAAGGGATGAAGGCCACTGCGATAATGTAGCCTGATCTCCTGTGTAACACAGGCCAGAAAACTGCCCCACAATCATTCCTATTTGAACTAGAGCAGGTATTTTAGAAAAGCATCCTCCAAATCTTGATTTAAAAATTGCCAGTGATGGAGAATTCACCACAGCCCCTTTGGAAAGATGATACAAAGGTAATTGAGCCTATAAGGCATATCTGCGTTCATTCAAGGGTTTCAAAGAACTCAAGATCACCATGACTGAAGCTGTGTTGGTTGGGAAAGTGAGCATTTATGTATAGCCTTCCATAAGCTTCCCTTTGCCTGGTATCTGATAGATAAGAAGATTCTTACAAGAAAATGAAAGGGATTCTACCAAGTCTTGTGGGCCCCAAACGTAAAGGGATATGTCACCTCCAAAATCGTACTCTGTGTGACATGTTAGTTACAGTTATTACAAATAACTTACCTACTTTCCTAGAACTGAGAGATTAGCGAGAAAAAATACTGGTATTTTTTCTGGGGTTCTTTGTATGTTTAACAGCACTTTTGGTATGTTCAATTTCACTGTTTCATCTGGTTTATCACCCTTAGGGTGAGGCTTTTATGTCTGCTGATTTAATTTCAAAATGATGGCACACCTTACTACAGAGGAGGATTGTGAGTTCAGAGGTGACTGAGCCAGTCACTGCGTTCCTTTTCTTTTGTTTCCATTTTTCCCAGCACCTGCCAGTTAAGTAAATATTGGGTGGGATCTTTCTCAGTTTAAAATATTGTGTTTAGCATAACTGACGTTAACCATCCTTGGACGGTATAGTTGTCAAATTACTAAAATGCTGATGGTGAATATCCCTCTAAACCTAGCTAGGGAGCTATAAGACTTCTCTGTTCATATAAATTGCCTGGTATTTTAATCATGCTGAAGTCTATGTCAGTTGCATCTGTGGCATTGAGATCAACATGTGAACTACACTCTGTACAAAATAGCATCTTCTCTGATTGGTTTTAAATTTGCCTCATTTCAGTTCCTAAGTTCCCTTTGTTTTTGTCTCTTGGGACAAGATTAATAGGCGCATCTGACTAGCTTCCTCGATAGCATTTTCTTTAGCTTATCCTCGGAACTTGTCACATATCACTAGCTATGGAAGGCTGGGTTTTCTTTAGCTAAGTACTTACCTCACCTATGTGCTAGAGGAAGTGGTGGTGACCCAATAGTCCTTTGAGTCAGTAACATACCAGTGCCCCAGCACGGAATTGTGGGAAGCTGTGCTGCTAGAATTGTTGTCCTTGTTGATGAGCCATAATACCAAGGTCTTGGCCATTTGTGGTTAATGATGCTCTCTTCTCATAAGAGTATTATGAGTGCTATTAATCTGGGTGTCTTGGCCAGATTCCAACCAAGATAGGGACCTTCTCTAACCCTCACCCTACTGTCCATGCTCAACTGGATATGATGATATTCACTTCCTGTCCCAAACTGTTGTAATGCTGCAGTGCATGGTTAAATGGGGGGTGGGGTAAGAGAATAAAAAAAATTTTTACCAATGGCTATTCGCTCCCAGCAGAGCGAATAGCCATTGGTAAAATACACCCCTAACCATAGTTTCAAAACAAACCACAAGGCAATTACCAGCCTCTCCCCATGATCCTCAGAAATCTGGGCTGCAGATGTTCTGGCTTCTCTGCCAATAGATGACCTCACAAGTACACCTATGATGGCCTGAAAGAACTGTCCCATTCTCAGCCCTGCTTTTCGTTCCCTTTGTCACTCACTCTGACGAAGGAAGCAGGATGCTGGCAGTCCAGACTCTCAGCCTCTTAGAAAACTAAATTTGTTCAAATCCTCTGTTAATGGCATTTCTGACCAGCCAGAGTCACTTGTAGTTGTGCAAACAGGTTTTTAACTCTTAGCAAAAGTTTTGCAGCTCATCTTTAAACAGCTGTGTGTCAGCAGAGGTGGAGGCGATCTGTGTATTGCGCATCTGTTGGTCAAGTCTTCAAAGCTCTTTGGAGTCAGAGGTACTATAGAAATGTAAGCTATAAACCCTCTTCCCGTCCCCTCTTCAGACCAAATTCTGCTGATCCTCTCTGCCGATCTGTTGCATAATCAGCACTGCTGTCTGGCAGGTGTGCAACTGACTTCACTGGGAGCTCTGCTTGGGGAGCAAATGTAGAACAGGAAACATGGCTCAGAGGAGGGTATCTATGTGTGTCTCTATCTTCCCTTCCCCCCTCCATGCCCAATAACATGCATGTGGCTAGATCTTCCTAACTACTCTCTGAAATGCAGCACTCCTATGTCTGACATCAAACTGTGTGCTGCTGTTCAGCTGTATACTCCTAAACCCTGTGGACTGCTTGCCAGCTTCACTGTTGGTTTGTCAGAATAAGATGGAGTTCATGCTTTTGCCTACTGTAATGCTTGTATATGACATAGCCCTTGACCAGATGACAGGATGGAAAGTGGTATTGTCTGGGGTGGTTGGTTGGATAAACTTTACTAAGTGCATGTTTTACTTTGTCTTTACAAATGTGTTGGTTCATTGGCAAGCTGTACTGAGAGGCTTTCATTGTCGAAAGACTGTCTTCTACATATCCAAGAGTGAATGTGAAGTGCAGCCTTTGGGAGACTGTACATTCAGATGTGGCACAAATTCAGATTGTAAAGCAAAAGTAGTTCTGGCCTATGCTTTCTCCACCAAATGTGCAAAAATGTAGCTGTTCTCTTGCAATAGTAGATTGGAGCAGGAAGCAAAGCAGGAACCTAAGAGCTGCTTTCAGCAACACCGTAGTCAATTATCTTTAATGAGTTGAGAATGTTTGGAGCGAGACATGGTAGTTTGAAAATTGCTAGCTAGAGACGCAGCGTACCCCTGCAGAGGATCTCACAGTGTTTGAGGGTGAGCTGAGACAGGAAGTGGTTGCAGTCACAAGACCTTTAATAGCAACTGGTCTGAATTGATACACAGTAGTGTCATTAGATAATTGAGAACTGGGACTTTTTCTAGGAAGCCTGTAGACTAAATATAGTTAAACATTTCCTAGAACATTTGGCCTCTGTAATGATTAGACTGAAGCTAGGAACAAAAAGGTAGTAGATTCCCAATTTTCTATTCTTCCGCACACTCCACAAAGTAACTAAAGCCTGGTCTACACTACAAAGTTAGGTCGATGCAAGACAGCTTACGTGGACCTCGTGCATGTGTCTATTCTTAACTTTGTCTCCCACCAATGTAAGCGCCCCATTACGCTGACACAATAACATCAGCATCCCAAGCAGCGAAGAGCCATGGCCATTTACTTAGGTCAATGCAGTGCGAGTGTAGACGCTGTGTTACTTAAGTCGACCTTAACTGTCCTCCAGCAGCTATCCCACAATGCCCAACGCTGACTGCTTTCATCACCAATGTGAACTCTGCTTCCCTGAGGTCACGGAGACCGGATGTCCCGTCCCCCCCCCCCCCCCCTTTAAAGCCCTGCAAATTTTTGAAATTCCTTTTCCTGATTGCCTGGCTTGGCTACCACACCTAGCAGCTCTCTATTGTTGATTGAAACTGCCCAGTTGACCATGCCGGCTGCACATTCCTGCCTGGAGTAGGCAGGCGATATTGGCTCTCCTGGGCCTGTGGGGAGAAGAGGCTGTGTAGGCATAGCTCCGAACCAGCAGTAGAAACCTTGACATCTATGAGCAGATTGCTCAGGGGATGCAAGAGAAGGGTCATGACCAGGGACCAGCAGCAGTGCCGCATGAAAATCAAGGAACTGCAGCAGATGTACCAGAAAGCCAGGAAGGCCAACAATCAATCAGTCTGATGCCGAGCCACAGACCTGCTGCTCTTACAAAGAGCTGTATGCCATCTTCGGTGGAGACCCCACCACCACCCCCAGCACCGTGGATTTCTCTGAGGAGCCTGAGTCACAGGTCCCTGCCATGAACAGCAAGGAGGAGGTGGAAGAGGAGGAGGAGGGATATGGGAGACAAGTGACCAGGGGAATCCAGCTGCACAGTGAGGACCTGTTTTTGATTCCACCGCAATCCAGCCAGTCCCGCCTGTTGATCCCGGGCAAGCCCATTGAAGGGGAAGGAGCCTTGGGTAAGTGTCTGTGGATAAATATTTAAATTACAGGGGTGGCATCCCCAAAGTAGCAGGACATTTTTATTAATTGACTCATGTAGAAGAGGGAGTGC